CTGACAAGTGGACCGGCTGTTGCGGGGTGCCTGGGTATCAGGTGCAAGCGCAGATGATTTCTGCTGAGCTGGTTCATCATGCACCCTTCCTCGTCTGTTAAGCGGTACTGTTTGAGGGTTTGCCTCCCTGTGAGCATCTGTATTTTCATGGGGGTGCCTCGCATGATGCTGGATGCCATCGTTCTGCATTGCTTTCTGGGTTACTCCTCCACTTTGCCGTAGCAGTAGGGACCCCTGAATTAAAATTTCCTCTCTGCAGCGTTCATGATCCCAGTAAAGAAACTTTACGGGCTTGAAGACCGGGGAATGCTTTCAGCAGAGCAGCCTGGTGCTTGCTCACACTAAATCCGTTTCTTGAGGGCGGCCAGGTGCATTTGCAGGCAGGCAGAAGCAGTTACAATGGGTTATTGGCATGCCTGGGAATAGTGAGTGCTGTGTTTCCTATGAAAAATAAGAGAAATGTTGGAGTCAGTTTTTGGGAAGAAAAGAAAGAAGCCAAATACATAGGTATTTAGTTTATACATATTCTAGGTATAGAGGGGGGTTTACTTTGGAAGAAAATCAACAGCAGTTTCTTCGTAGGGGAAGTGAAAAAACCCATGCAAGGAGACACCGTCACTGTGGGTTTAGTGGCTGTGCACATTTGCTGCATGTAAGCCTGTGCACGGTCCCTGGAGAGAGCCTTGCCTGGTACCCTGTACCTGTGAGGCTAGCCATGCCCAGCCTTTCCAAGGGTCCTAATTGAGGCATATAAACGAATTTGGGGTGGTTTTGCCCTTTTTTTTTTTTTCCCCCCTCTTACAATAAGGAAAGGAGAAAATCAATATGCTTTTTCTTGCTTTATTCACTCAGCCATGATTTTCCCCTCTTAAGCTGGCTGGGCCTTCTGTTCCTTTATCTCTGCCTGCTTCCCAAGAGCACTGGATATGTCCTCCACCCACTCAGATAATCATCACCTTGGTTTTTCAGCTTGTTTATCAATAAATAAAGACATCACTGTTCCTTTGCCTGTCTCTAGAATACCTTTTATTTTGAAATGAATGGTTACACCCCTCAGTCTGGGGTTCCCACAAACCTGCGCTTTGTTCCGTGGTCCTTCTCAGCCGGTGGGTCCCAAGGGACTTGGCATTTGTCGAAGAGTAGTCCCAAAAGATCAGCAAGGGAGACTATCTGGGTGCTGCCTGGAAGGTCAGGAACGGGTGATCAACTACCACTTGGGCAAACATTTCCTCCAGCATCAAAACCTGTTCAAGATGTTGGTTTTACCTGGATTGTTCCCGGTTTACAGCGGCGCTGTGCAGACAGTGATGCTGGCAGGGCTCGGGCAGAGGTTGGAGGATGGCTCAGCACAAGCAGGGCAGGAACTGCTTGGGCTGGTTTCACCGTCTGAAAAGCTGAACTAGCTGCATCTTCTGAGAGAGATACCAGTGTGCTGTTTAGCGGGATGCCCCTGGACTCGGTAGCTGCTGTGCTGGAGTCACGTTGACTTGTTCAAAAATTACAAGTAAAATACTTCACAGATGAGTTAAAATCACTTATTTTGCCTGAGCATCATCTAGGTCCCACATCATCTTACTGTAGCAAGAGAGTGCACAAACTACTAATAGCAGCGTCATGTAACGTTGGCACAATTTGATGATTAACATCTCTGATTAAGCAAAATCCTAGGAAACATAACAAAATGCCTGTTGGTATTTCATTAATCCAGATCAGTTTGGACTACTTGCCAATTTGTTGATTGGTGTTCAGCCTGTTTCTGAGTGAAATTCATACCAAAGATGAATGCATAGGTCTGAGGATGACTTACTACACTTTGTTCACTACAAGACTGTCTTAAAAGGTGAAGGAGGTAGTAAAAGATCTCCCTTTGGGTGGAGTTTCAAATCAGAGAGCTCTGGACAATATGCCACGAGGAAGGCCATTTTTGTTCTTTACCAGAAACCTTGTTTTCTGCTCATTAAAGCTAAAATGTGGAAACCAGGATTGGTGGACCTCTTGCCTGAGGACGCTGACAGCCTCAGGACCACAGATGCTCTTCCTCCTCTCAAATGAAGTCTTAGGGGTAGGGCTGGTAGGTTTCTTGTGTGGAGCCAAGGTGGGGCTGGCTGCCTTTAAAAAATTTGATGGAAATTCAGGAGCAGCAAATTCTTCTGCTCCATTTTGAACAGGTTAGTGGTTAAGGCGGTGGCGTGCTTCTAACGTTTCAGTGTTGTTTCAGCCAGCCCAAGGTTTGAAAGGTGGTTTTGTGACTAGCTGAACACCACACTCGCCAAGTTTAGTCTTTGAACAAAAATATTAGTGTAGAGAACGTGTGTCGCTGGGTGCAGGTATCCCATTAACTCCAAGGAGGGCCTGCCCTGAGCCGGCTCCTCGCTCCCCAGGCACGCACCAGCGGTGCGGGAGCAAACTGGCTGCTCGTGGCTGCTGGGGAGGAGGAGAAAGCTGGGCAAACCCTGCTGGGGCTCCCCCGAGTGCGGTCCCGCTGGCTGAGTGCCCCTCAAAGCCCCCGGCCTGCAGGGAAGGAAGCCCCTACGCTTGCAGGGATGCTGTGGCTTTGCTGTGTGAAGGCAGCAGGAGCTGACACGCAAGCACGATGAATCTCTCGCTCCTTCTGGGAGTAGGCTTTTTGGGTTTGGTGGGTTTTATTTTTAATCTGGGTTTGTGTTTTGGGCTTTTGTTAACTCAGGAAAAAGATCTGTGAAAACCAGGATTGGCTCTGCAAGCTTGTGTTGTGAGTGTACAGCAGCTGAAGCCAGAACAGTGGTATGATCCTGTGGTTTGGGTGTTCTTCTGTTGGTGTTTTAGAT